TGGAGCCCGGCTGGTACCGGGCCGGGCAGCGCCTCTTCGATAAGGGGAGTGTGAGCTCCCCTCCTTCTTCCATGGTCTTTAGGAGACAGGCCCCTTCCTTCCGGGGGCCCTGCTGCGGTCGGGCGCCAGGAGACGGGAGCGCGCCTCCATTGGGAAATGCTGCAGTTTAAGATCCCCGGCAGCGTGTGCACGTTTGGGGCACGAGTCCCCCCAGAGACGTGCGTGTCAGGAAGAGGGGCTGCCTCGCACCACGTTTACAGCCTCCCAACTTCCGTCCCCTAGCGGGACAGCAGGGAAAGGTGGCTGGTTTTGTCTTTAAACACGGAGACCGAGGGCTCTTCGCCCGCTGAGCTAGTCACACCGCAAACAACGCCGCTCAACGAGCTCCGCGCCCTCTGAGGGGAGCTGGGCACGGGGGTCGGACAGCACTAGCCAGTCGCCATTGCAGGCCCAGCCACTGCTGTCACGAGTCTCCGGCTCAGTCGCCTCAGGTGCATCCCCCAGGGCCTCCGCTGGAAGAGCAGTGACTGGCCCACCCTTCTCCTTGCCTACGAGATCCCTCAAACTTCTCAGCCAGCTTTGGACTGAACGATTCTGTATCACCTGTAAGCTCTGTCTCCCTGTTGGCTCCTGTCTCCAGACCACGGGGGGCTGCTGGATAGTACCGGCCCCAGTACAGGCCCCGGGGCACCTCTCTCCGCTCTGAGAGCTGCCCCTTGGGGCCTGTCTGCTAACCAGTTACTGATCCCTGAAGAGCCTGGGGAGGAACCTTGTCCACGGCTTTCTGGAAATCCGGGTATGCCACCTCCACTGGCTCCCTGGCCACGTGCCTGCCGCCCCCTCGGAATTTGGGGAGGCGTGATTTGCCTTCCCACAGTCATGCTGGCTCTGCCCCCACAACCCGCTCACAGAGGAGTGGCACGGGACAGGGCCTGTTCTCCGCAGAAACGCAGCGAGGGAGGGCTGGAGACAGTCAGAAAGCCGCGGCGCGCTCATTTCTTACTAGAGAGCTGCTGCTGAAGCTGTCGGACCAGGGCAGCCGTCTGCTGCTGCTGCTGTGTCTGCTGGAGGCCCTGGCGCTGGAACTAGAGAGAGAGAGGACTGAAAAGTGCCACAAGCCCAGCGGGGTGGCAGCGTTCACAGGGGCGTCTGGCAAACACTCCCTGTGGCAGGCAGCAGCTAGGGGGGTGAGGAGGACGCAGGCTCCCCTCTGGCTCTGGGACACACTTACAATGGGCTGCTGAGGAGGAAGAGCCTGCATCCCTAGTCCTGGAGGCTGGCCCTGGGCTTGCGGCTGGGGGCACGGGGGGACCCGCGGCCGCGGCCGGGG